TGCTTTTTATGCAAAGGAAAAGAAAAAGTAAAGTCAAATGGTAGTTCTCTTTGAAAAAATTGCCTTGTAAATTGAATAAGGGTTTGAAAGATGTATTCCATTTTTGTATTTATTATATTTTATTTCTTTCATGATTTTTTTTTTCTACTATGTGGTTCTGTGTATAAAATAAGGGCTAAATACCCATATTGGTATTTTAATTCAACCCCATTTGCCAAGAAGGTATTTTAAATAAAAAAATCGGCGTTAAGGCATTTTAATTAATTAAAATTACCAATTAGGTCCTTTTTCTCGTCGGCGACCACTTTTCCGACGAGAACTCGTCACGTGCGTGACACGTGATGACTTAATCTGTGTTTTAGCTGATGATGTGGCTCGGTTTGCTGATGTGGCTCGGTTTTAGCTGCTGATGTGGCTTAATCACAATTTAAGTCCAAAACGAACCAACCTGAACCCTAAAAATTTCAAAACAAAGATCAAACTTCCACGCATTCACTCCAGATCTTAGATCCAACTCAATTATCTTACCTTTACCGCTAACAGAAGCAGCCAAAACCCCCGATTCCAGGAACTTCTAGAAGAAAACGCCATGGGAATTCGATGAGAAGAGAGTGAGAAGACGAAGATCACTGCAGACTAGATTACCGCCGACGCGGCCATGGATCGATGCAAGAGAAAGAGGTTCTATTTATACGGTAATTTCACCACTAATTTTTCGCTAATTTTTTTACCAATTTTAGAAATGGGGGATTTTAAAATGCATCGACTCTTATTCTTCCTGCCACTGCCACGTCAGAAAACCGGTTGAATTAAAATGCACGTGACGAGTTCTCGTCGGAAAAGTGGTCGCCGACGAGAAAAAGGACCTAATTGGTAATTTTAATCAATTAAAATGCCTTAACGCCGATTTTTTTATTTAAAATACTTTCTTGGCAAATGGGGTTGAATTAAAATACCAATATGGGTATTTAGCCCATTGGAGTGATTTTGGTAGGCTTTATGCTTTATGAATATGATGAAGGTCTTTGTACTTATGAAACGGGAGAAGATAAAATTAAAGAGCATATGAGAGATTTTCAATTTTTGCTGATATCATGAAATGAGCGTATTGCCTTACGTTTTCCCTTGGGGCCTTCTGTGTTTAATCTTACACTTGTTGCGTGCACAAATTTTTTGATATATGATGAATAATGAAGGTTATATAGTTTGATGTTAGGTATATATGAATGCAGCTAACGTCCAAGAGTTGGTGTCCTACTTTTGAAAAAACCTTTTGAGCTTGCAATTGTACTAAATTAAATAAAGATTAAACACAAGTGTAAAGATGATTCTTAGATAAACATTTCCATATAAAGCATAGGATTCTAGTCCTTTCCTTTTCCCTTTTATGTATGGTTTTAAGGACGTCATACAAAAATTTCTAAGTGATAAATTATGGACTAAATACCTCTGATTCACTACTAAATTAAAGTGGAAAAGTTAGATTATGAGAGGTCTAAGATTCAAAATTGGACTATGTTATCTGATCAAGAGATAAATAACAATAATAGATATTCCAATATGTATATTTGTTTAGAATTAGTCATACAATTAAGAATAATCCAAGATTTATTTCTTTAAAAAAATTATCATGATTAATTTTAAACTAATTTCCACTGTGTTTTGATGGTTTTTTATTTTGTGCCTCTCACGAATATCATTACAGTAAGATCATAAAATATAATAAGCTAGAATTGACGTAGGTATGTGGAACTGTCCACTCCAAAGTTTAATGCTAATCAAAGCTCAGTGACTTGTCAAGATCAAGCTTAAGTACCATTACAAACAAACATTACCTCGTTAAAAAATTGTGAATAAGTAACCTAGGGTTTTAGTTGGCAATTGGAGATAGGGTATAAGGGCATTGCTACAGGGACCCTTAAAAAAAGGGACCCCTATGGGACATGTGAGGTGCCAATTGCTGGGGGCGCGATTTACTATTTATGAACAGTAAATCGCACCCCCAGGAACTGGCACATCACCTGTCCCATAGGGGTCCTTTTTTTTGGGTCCCTAAGCATTAATCAGGGTATAAAGAGGAAAACAAAGCGAAAAAACAAAGATATATAGCTTCAAGTAATATGATGTTTGCTTCTTATCACAAGGCTTGATATTCAGAAAAAGACAAGTTTAAGATCTCAATAAGATGCATGGTTTTCTTTAAACATTGTACACCATCACTAATTATCTACCCACTCGATCGATCACTTGCATGTCGTTTACATGAAATTTCTTGGCTATAGACAAGTGAACTAAAATAATTATGGTATAATGTTGTCACTTGGTAGCTAGGTACTGAAAGGGACCTGTTGGTTTTTATGCTAAACTCAACTTGTCAATGTCTAGTAATGTAGTATGTTGTTTGTGTAAGATTTTTTTTTCTATCAGCAATCTTTTTTTAAAAAAAAAAACATGAAACCAGTCATTATCTGTTTTCCCTTTATCAGTGGACTAGCTTATATTGGCTATTGCCTATTGGCAATCGTAATTACTATGTCAACGATTCTATATTTTTACATTATTTGATTAGTACTTATCTCCTAAATTTCAGTACTATATTATTTTCGAAAATAAGTTTGAGATGTCACGCACAAGAATCACGTCATTATTTTTATTCTTAATTTAACTGAGAAAAGACTAAATTGTCATTTAAATTCATAAAAAAATAGCAATATATCTTCTGAGTTTTCGAGGGATGTAAGTGCTAATAAAAAGCTTGCAGAGCCCAGAAACTACACCAACCACAGCACAGGCGTGCGTTTCTCTTCAATCTACCCACCAGCTTACACCGAAAAGAGGGTGCAAAATGTAATAAAACTGTGTACAAGGCGGAAATTAAAACTTCAACAACTAATAAGACTCATTTAAGAAAAAGGTAAAAAAATATATATCAGAGGATTAAAGTAATGTACATCATGGAGTGCAATATGAAGCTTTGATGTTTTGGATAAGGCTCAAATCTAGCTTATACTATTGGGTTGTTACGCAGGATTATCCAAAATTCAAATCTAGCTTATACTATTGTGCTGTTACGTAAGATCTCAACGGTTCCATCAAGCATGCAAGCTCATCTTGAACTCACATCCACGTCATACTTAACAATATTTATTGTTTTTCGGTAAATGATTATTTTTACTCCTTAGATCTTTAAATCAAATGGCTATAAAAGAAGCGGGAGATAATTTCGGAGGTTCTGCATAATCTCAACACCCACGATAAATTCAAAGTTTTCGAATATATAAAGAAACATAAGATGATATGAGACTTGTTCATATTCAAATGACATGCACTTAAAATGAAGAGAGGTAACAATACTTAAAAAATAGCCTCGATTTTTGTCCATGACAATAAACCGACGAGACATATAATATATGTTGGAGTAAAAATTATATCCTTACTTTCATCCATTACTTAGACTTCGTAGTTTTGATGCAATAGAAAAGATTTAAAAACGATGACATCAAAACTGAACCATCTATGGGTTGATCGTTGACTTGAGTGTAAATTTCGTAACTTGTTGCCCTTGAAAGCGATTAAGATTTTGCTGTAGATGACTATGTTCTAATCTCTTGGCAAATTCTTGGTGATAACTTGGTCTCAGATCCAATGATTCTTATC